TAATTGCTCTGTCTTCGGTCCCCTCCCCAGCTCCCCCAGCATAGTTTATGGTTCAGTAAAGTCCGCATTCCTCATCCCGCTGAGGCGCGGGAGGGAAGACTTGTGCAGGAGATGGACGGAGGCGGGAGGCCGCTTCCCATCCGTGGCCAAGCCCTGAGAGCTGCTACCTGCTTGAAGGCAGGATAGTAATTGCAACCACATGGGCCAAGTCTGCACAGATGGTTTTACTAACACGGCTCCCTTCAACACAAAACTCTGCTCCCCAGAAGTCTCCCAGCAGCACAAAGACCTTCATTTTCCCCGTGTATCCCCCACCCCACCCCTCCCTCACCATCTGACCCCACTCCTCCCCCTGCCATCTCCTTCAAAGGACGCTGGAGTTCCAACTGCAACCCAGACATGAACTCCCAACTAAAACTAATTTTAGACCACCCCTCCCGCCCACCACCAGCCTAGGTGCTCCTGGGAAGGCACCTGGAGGTCCCTCCTCCCAATGCCCACCTTGATTTTGGAGGCTTTAATCAGGAAGAAGGAATATTGCTTTAGGAATGTTTGGTCCATTTGCAAAGACAATGTCCCAATCCAGGGAATTTGCCATTTTCCAGGACAGAAATGCATGAGCTTGTACACTTGTCAATACGGTGGGCTCTGTTCTGGAAGCCTGACCTGCAGCCTCTCAGGCCGCCCTTGCTGCCCTCCTGTGAGACTGTTGTCACTAGCTAGTCCATTCTGACCCATGGTGACTCCTTGCGCCGCAGAACTGTGCTCCACAGTTTGTATGGGTTGTAATCTTCATGGAAGCAGATCACCACTTTCCTCTACAGTACTGCTGAGTGGGTTTGAACCACCAACTTTCAGGTTAGCAGTCGAGCACTATGGTACTTAAAGTTGTGTGTCAACTTAGCCGGACCTTGGTTTTGAGTGGCTTGGCAGCTGGTTGTAGTTATTCCCCACAGAGCCTGTGATCACCTTTACGGGGGAATCTGCTCTGAGCAGCTAGGGAGTTGCCTTTGGGGTGTGGCCTGCTTCCAGTATATAAGGAGCAAGTCTGGGAAGGGTCTCTAGCTTTTGCCACATCTGGATCCTGCATTTCACCAAGTCTTCATCTCAGTGGCCTGCCAGGTTGCCTGCTGATCTTGGGACTGTACCATTTTACCCGTCAATCTTGGGTTCTTCAGCCTCAGCAGCCAGCAGCTGCGTGAGTCAGAAAAAGCCTCCAGCTCCAGTGGGCCTGGAACAAGAGGCAGAGCTGAAGGCCAAGGTCGAGGGGGCCTCACCCAGCCCCTAAAGCTGGCACTCGGTATTCAGACTTCTAACCTCCTAAACTGTAAGAGAATAAATCCTTTTGTTAAAGCCAACCACCTGTGAGATTCCTGTTACGGCAGCACTAGAGAACCAAAACAAGTGCAAACTTTAATGCTGCCATGTTACATAGGCTTATCCAAGGTAAAAAGGCTGGTGAGTGTCAGCACCAGTGTTTGAACCCAAGTCTGACTCCGGAGGCCAGGTAGGTGTTTTTCCCTGGGCCCACATACCAACTCTGAAATCACTTCCCTTTACCCAGCAGCTATGCATGACGAAGAGCCGACAGGCAAAAGCTGTGGTCTGCAAACTCTCTTAGGCAACGTCACTTGGGAAGTTTGGAAGAATGCAGATCTCTGGGCCCAGCCCCAGAAGTGTTGATTCAGTCCACCTTGGGCAGGGCCTCAGAAGCTGCATTTTAACAAACACCCCCAGGTGATGCTGAGGCAGGCAGTCTAGAGGAAAGCTGGTCAGGAGGCTCTCAGAGCAAGGGACATGGGATCTTGATCCCAGTGGTCTTGGACCCTCAGACCAGGGCTTTTTCCATAATTTTTAAAATTTAAAAACCTCCACAGTAAGCTGATTGCATGCTGGCCAATTTTGTGGGGAGCTAGTCACTGACATGTGATCACACCTAGTAAATTTCTGCACTGTTCACTTTATCTGCAGGTTCACTTGCCAAACTTCCAACTAACCCAGAATTTCCTGTCCTCTCTGCTGGGGGTGCAGCTGCCCTCAGCGGCTGGAAGGAAGACTCATATGGCAAAGGCTTACAGAGAATCACTGTGCTCTGGGCACTGGAGCTCAATGGCAGATGATGGACCAGCTCTTACTGAAGTCCTCGGAGCCTGGGCTCTGAGGACACCCACACTGGCTCATTGTTAACTGAAGCTTGACAACTATATAAGGAGCCAGAGGTGCTCAAGACGGTGCAGAATCACTTTCTAATAGGTCCTGCCAGTTCCCTTTTGTCTGGGCTGCCAGGGTATTAACCTCTGAAAAGGGGAGGGGAAGTTCTAGGATCTTCCATGCCAGCAGTCTCTTCCTCTGTGGCTCTGGCTTGTGTCCCATCCTCTGCTAAGAGGTAATGGGGATGACCTCATTTGCTGAAACTGGGCAGTGGGTCCTACTGTACCTAGAGGGGTGTCTTCTTTTCTTCTTGTTGTTGGGTGCCATCAAGTTGCTTCTGACTCATAGTGATCCTATGTGAGAGTAAAACCGCCCCATAGGGTTTCTCTGGTTGTCATCTAACAGGAGCAGACCACCAGGTCTTTCTCCTAAGGGCAGGTTTGAACCAGCAACCTTTTGTTTAGCAGCCAAGTGCTTAACCATTGTGCGACCAGGTCTCCTACTTAGTTTCTTAGTGCTGCTATAACAGAAATACCAGTGGGTGGCTTTAATGAGTAGAAATTTGTTTTCTTATAGGTGGACACAAGTCCAAATTCAGAGCTCCCCCTGCCCCTCTGTTGGCTCTGGGGAAGGTCCTTGTCTCTTTTCAGCCTGTCCCTCAGTTTCTTGGAGATCTTCATATGCATGGCATCTGTCTCCCCCCATTTGTGCTTCCTTGTTTTGGGGTCTGCTCTGCTCTTTTTATATCTCAAAAGGGATCGGCTTAAGATGTACCCTTCACTGACATGGCTTCATTAACATAACAAAGAAAACCCTCTTCCCAAATGGCATTCCATTCACAGGTACAGGGGTGAGGTCTGCAATACACGTTTTGGAGGACACAATTCAACCCCTAACAAGAGGTCAATCAGTCAAACCCCTTTCTCCTTCCCCCTGGCACAAAGAAGGGACTCAAAAGTGGTTCTGTGTTTTAATAAACGTTCCTTTATTAGGTTACTGAGTATTACCAACGATCATAAAATAGAACGGGAGTTTTGAAACTGTACAAGCCACAAGGCTCGGGGTTGACAGGAAAGTAGGGGGTTGGGGGTGCAGGGTAGCTGGGCGGAGGGAGGCATGGAGAGATGACAAAGAGCTGGCGTTCACTCAGTCCCTATGGGAGGCGACTGGGTCAGGCCATAAGCTGAGCGTTGTCCGAGTTAAATCCTCCGTGTGCACCATGGGTCAGAACGTGGCAGCCCTGCACCGGAGCAAGGAGAGGAAAAACCCCTCAAAGTGATAAGGGGCTGATTCGCATTTCTCACCCAGTCTTGGCACCAAATTTGTGCTTTCAAAAATATACTCCACTGAAAGATTTTTTTTTTCTTTATAAAAGGTACCCTACAGCAGCTGTTTAAAACATAATTCTTACAGACAAATATATACATGTATATATATTAAACATTTTAAACAAATAAAGTCATCTATTGTACCTGTACAGAAATGAACCGAAGTCAGAGTTCAAGAGAGCTGACTTCAAGAGAGAATGGGCACAGCGAGGTGGTCTGCTAGGTGGGGGGCTGTGGGAGGGGCCACCCTTCCCCAGATGCTGAGGGTCTAAGGGGAGTAGTGACCACCGAGGGCCTGCTCCAGGATAGTCCAGAGCCCCAGGAGGGAGCTGAGCAGGCACTAGCACTGGATCCATGAGGAAGTGGCTCAACTCTGCTCTTCTCTGAATCCATCCTGCCCTGGCCCAGGCTCTTGGACACGGAGACCCACTGACCCTCCCTTCTTGGTTCTGGCAGCCCTGTGGGGAGGCCAGAGGCCCTGAGGATGCACTTGGGAAATTTCAGCTAGAAAAACACAACCAAAAACAAAACCAAAGCACCCATAGGAGGCTTAAGAAATAAAGCCACGTGCAAAGATCTGTGAGCCCAAGAGGTAAGCGGCTACTTTACAGTTGGTCCATTCAGGCAGGTTCCCAGAGACATTCCACATTGCACGGGGTGCTGACATTCCCTGAGGGGCCCACTCGGAAACTCGGGCAGAGCCCCTGGAAATTGTAGGTCAGGGAACCCACACGAGGACACCCTGTGCCTGCGCCCGCATGCACACATGGCACAGAAACAGGCCAGGGTGCACAGGCCAGGCACACACATCCCAGAGCGGGGACAGGTGGGAGGAACGCAACCAAACACTCCAGAGGGGGATGAAACAAGGTTTCCTTTCTAAATGGAATAAATAATGGCTTTTGTTATCGTTAGAAGAATAAATACAGGGTCCAAGGCACCTATACCTGGGGCTGATTCTGGGTACTTATGTGCCTGCATGAGGTCCAATTCAGGTTTCTGCCTCAGCGTCCGTGGTGGGTTTCTGACATCCTGAGCTTCACTGGCCATGGCCAGGCCCCTCTGTGGCTGGGCACTGTCAGCCCTTTTCTGAAGCACCTCTTCAACTCTGCTGGGGGTCTGCTCGGCCACCATGGCACATCTTGCTGGCCCCACTGCCCCAGCATCCCCAAGAGGCTGCAGCCTTCTCCTGGAAGGTGTGGGGGGCTCCCCACCCCACCCCAAGAGCAGATCAGAGCTCAATGTAGAACTAAAGAAGTTTATTCTGTCTTTTTAAAAGGGGGGGGTGTATAAGGCATGCAGGGTGGCTGCCTTCTGCCAGCATCAGGTAGGGGGACAGACATGGTCAGGACCTGTTTGTCTGGCAGAGGCAGCTGGGGAGGGACGGATGGGAAGAGCATGGTCTTCTGGCCATGGCTGTGGATGCCGGTTCCAACACTCCGCGCGGCAGGCAGCCCCGTGGTGGACGGCTCAGTGAGGTGGTAACCAGGTGTCTGTGGAGCAGAGGTCCCAAGTGGCGCGTCACTGGTAGAGGAGGTAGGCCCTGAGCGCGGCAGGCAGTGGCAGCGTGTGGATCTCCCCGAGGCGCTCTCTCCCCAGGGCCAGGCGCACTGAGCGGCGGCAGAGATCCATGAGCGGCAGGGGCTCAGCTGGGTAAACCAAGGCACGCGCAAGAGAGAGAGACAGAGAGAACATCAGGTTAGCACAGCACTCTCCACATTCTGGCTGGTTCTGCAGGAGACAATACTAATCACAACATTAAGAGCTAACACAGGAACCACTCTGAGCCAGGGAGCCCTCACGTGAACTCACCGGATCCTCACAACAGCCCCCTGAGGGAACTACCATTATTACTGTCCCCAATTTACAGATTCCAGGAAACAGGGATACTACCAGCTGTCATGGAGTCGAGTCTGATTCAGGGTGACCCCGGCAGAGTCAGAGCAGAACTGTGCTCCTCAGTGTTTTTAATGGCTGATTTTTCACAAGCAGACCACCAGGACTTTCTTCTGAGACATTTCTGCATGGACTCGAACTCCTAGCCTTTTGATTAGTGGCCAAGTGCATTCACTGTACCACATACCACACAGAGTCTCAATGGTTTTTCCAAGGCAGCCCTGCTGGCGGAAGACAGAACTAGGATTCAAGCCCAGGCCATTCCACTCTTAGACCCCTGCAGCAGCCTTTGATGTACATCTGTGGGGGCATACCAGAGCCAGGTCTCCCCAGTCAGCACCCCAGGCCCAGGTCCCAGGCCGGCTTTCAGAAAGATCATCATTTTTGGTGTTAACCCAACTGCTCATAGGCATTGTTCTCATCTCTGTTTGAACTGCAGACCCAGAGTGGGGACATGACATGCCAAGGCTACAGGAGTAAGGAGGTGACAGGTCAGGGGTCTGATCCAGAGAATCTGGCTCCAGCATCCATACTGTGAGCCACCACACTGTGCTCACCCAGAGTCCCCAAAACAACTGGTAAGGTTGAAGGAAGGTCCCCAGGCCAGGGAATCCCACGGCCTCACGGTGGAGAATCTGTGCTGAACTTGGGCAAGTCAGAGCTGGACAAACCCCTGGTCCCCGTGCTTCTCTGCCTGACAGAACTAAGTTGAGTGTTGAGGCAGATGGAAACTGGAAATGCTAGCCTGGCCACAGAGGGACCATCTGTGGCCTCATGAATTGCTCCAAGGACCTGGAACCTGGGGTTCATGGCAGTCAGAGTAGCTTCTAGCTGCAGCCTATAAATGTACCTCAGTTCTGTGTCCAGGGAGCCTGGGGCCGGCCTTCCTGGAGGGAGGCTCCCTTCCTTCCCGTGTCCCTGACACAGGCTGGGCTCCAGAAGTCTGAGAAACTTCCAAGTGCCTGCATGGCCCAGGGGCCGTCCCCACCCTGCCTCCAAGTCCATCCCTCATCTGCTCTCTGCCCAGAGCCAGGCCCAGGTGAGCACAGCTGGACACCTGAGCCAGCCCACAGCCCTCTGGACAGAAGCAAGCTTTAATGAGGGGGCATGTGGCTTCATTCATGGTCTCTCCTTGACTTTGAGACTCCTTTGTGAGCAAAATAAAGGTCAGACCTAAAAAGAAACAAACAAGAGCCCAGCATTCCCTTTGACACCCCAATTCACCAAAAACTCAAAACCAAACTCAATGCCATGGAGTTGATTTGACTCATAGCGACCCCTCCTGGGTTTTTCGAGGCAGTATCTCTACAGAAGTAGATTGCCCAATCTTCCTTCTGAGGAGTGGCTGGTGGGTTTGAACCACCAGCCTTCTGGTTAGCAGTCAAATGTCTTAGGCACTACGCCACCAGAGCTCCCATTAAGTGCAAATAAAAATGCCTTAATATTCACCAAAGCTCAGAATATTAAAAATAATTTGATAAACATCAAATCCTAAGTCTGGGAGGGTTTGAGGGAGAAATGGGGAGTGACTGCTATGAAGCTTCTTTTTGGGATGATGAAAATATTCTAAAATTGATTGTGAGCATGGTTGTACAACCCTGTGAATATACTCTGTGCACTTTAAACAGGTGGATTTTATGGTATATGAATATGATATCAATAACATTGTTATAAAAAAGAGAGTAAATCTTAGGCTTGGTAATGCATTGACTAAATTCCAGGTTTTAAAAGACAAACTTGAACAGATGTTGAAATAGTGAGCACTCTGAACTAAAGGTTTTTAAATGGGCTTTTCCTGGACAATTTAGGATGATTAAAGAGAGCCTGCCTGGAGGCAGGAAGATGAGCCCCAATGACCTCCCACAACCTTTTAGGGTTAGGATTCCATAAACCCTTAGTTAAGTAGGGTCGGGTCTCCTTCCTCATCCCCTTCCTGCACGTAGAGCCTTAGGTCCTGCCCCACGGCCCTCATGCCTGGCTCCACATCCCAGTGGGGTTGCCCTGCACAGCTGCCTGACCTGGAACAGATTACTCCCTCTGCCTGGGCTTAGTTTCCCCATCTGTCACACAAGGAGATCAGGCCAGACGTTGCCTATACTGGGTTGAAGAGTGTCCCCCCGCCTCAAATCCATGCCCACCAGAACCTCAGCCTGTGACCTTCCTCAGAAATAGGATCTTTGCAGATGTAATTAGTTAGGGTGAGGCCATGCTGATTAGGGTGCAGTGGCGTCACTAGGGGGGCGCAGCGGGTACAAACCACATCAGGTGACATTGTTGGGAGGGTGACACCAAAGTGACTGTCTATAAAATTTTTGCACAGTGTTTAGTAGAAATATATTTTTTAAATAAAAATATCCCTGTAGTTATACCCAAAAAAAAAAAAAAAAAATTGTCAGCCCAGTTTACATGTATGTATCAGTAGACCTACAAGACTAAAACTCTGTTAATTTACTTTTTGAACCTTCTAATGCCCTCTGGTCTGAGCTGTTGTTACTACCCAATCATGGTGATGCTCCAACATCACGTAGTTTTGTGCTTTCATCTCCATGCATTATAAGAAACCCCTGTTGCTTCTGTTAGGAGCTCTGGTGGCATAGTGCCTAAGGCATTTAACTGCTAACCAGAAAGCTGGTGGTTCAAACCTACCCGCCACTCCTCAGAAGGAAGATTGGGCAATCTACTTCTATAGTGATACCACCTCAGAAACCCAAGGAGAGGTCGCTGAGTTGGGTCTGACTACATGGCAGTGGGTTGGGTTTGGTTTGGTTGCTTCTGTTGCTGCTGGTGTTTTTACAGTCTTTGATTTTGTCAAATTTTCTGGTGTTTTAGTTACAACATTATGATGATGAAGATCTGTGAACTTGTATCAATGACTTTCTTGAGAATGAAGTGACTAAAAGAAGGAGAAAAATTTTAAAAAGGCTTCCACTCAGTTACTAATAATGTTGTAACTAATAGCATTGTCATTCAATGTAGAAAGATTTTACAAAACAATTTTGTTGTTAGTATTCATATAATTTGAGAACTATTACACTGAAGCTGTTTAAACTATCACATATTATTCTATGATTAAAACTGATAATAAACCAACATTACTCCGGTCTTGTATGGGAGGAGGTCTAAAGTGAGGGGGGGTGACACCAACCCCAATGATGTCACTGTTAGGGTGGGCCCTAAATCCAATGACTGGGGTCCTCATAGGAGCTGTGGTAGCACAGTTAAAGCAATTAGCTGCTAACCTAAAGGTTGGTGGTTTGAAACCACTAGCAGCTACACAGGAGGAAGATGTGGAAAGTCTGCTTCCATAAAGATTTACAGTCTTGGAAACCCTGTGGGACAGTTCTACTCTGTCTTATAGGGTCACTATGATTGGGAATCAACTCAATGGCAGTGAGCCAAACCCACTGCCAGCAAGGGCCATCGATGGCAATAAATGTGTTTTTTCCTTTGTTTGGTGTCCTTATAAGACAGTGAGAGGACACGCAGAGACACACACAGGGACGGCACCCATGTGATGAATGAAGCAGAGGCTGGAGTGATGCAGCTAAAAGCCAAGGGGCACCAGGAGCCAGGAGAAGCTGAAAGAAGCAGGGAAGGATGCTCCGTAGAACCTTCATAGGGAGTGGGGCCCTGCCAGCACCTTCATTTCTGACTTTCAGACTCCTGAACTGTGACAGAATAAATTTATCTCACAGAAATTTATTCTTAACAATTGTGGCTTAAATTGTTTCAAGTCACCAAGTTCGTGGAACTTTGTTACAGCAGCAATAGAAAACTAACCCGATAGGAAACTAACGAACCATGCCGGCAAGTATTTGATTCATCATGACCCATGTGTACAGCACAGAACTGTGCTCCACGGGGTTTTCAAGGCTGTGGCCTTTCAACTGCCAGGTCTTTCTTTCATGGTGTCTCCAGCTAGTTTTGAATCACCGACCCCTCATTAGAAGTGAGCACTTAACCATTTGCCTGTGGCCTTGGGACCACAGTCTCAGGGGGACATCGTGCTCAATTGGCACAATATACTAACCTAAAAATCTTGTTCTGTATCCTACTTTGGTGAGTAGCAACTGGGGTTTTCTAAGTTTTCAAGCAGCCATCTAAGATGCAACTATTGGTCTCCTCTCGTCTGGAGCAGAGAAGAATGAAGAAAATCAAGGTCATCTGGAAACAATTAGTTCAAAGATAGGATGGACCACAAGGACCACTGAGACCAGGAGAACTAGATGGTGCCCAGCTACCAATGCAAACCACTTGGAAAGAGATCACAACTGGAGATCCTGGTCAGAGTGGGAGGAAAATGTGGAACAAAATTCAAACACACAAAAATGACCAGAATTACTGGTCAGATAGAACCCCCGAGACTATGGCCCCAGGTTACCCTTCAGGTCTAGAAAGAAAAAAGAAGTTGATCACATTTGTGCCACCCATGGACTCCCAAGGAAATTAATACTCTCCCCAAAGAACCATCCAGCCGAGATCCTGAGGGCCAGAAACACCCCGCGGAGCTCCTCGGCCTGGACTCCAGCAGGAAGGAGGGGCCCTCCTGCCCACATGAGCAAGTAGCAGAATGCAGGCTGTGCTTCCTCTTCTCTGCTCAGGAGCTCCCCAAGGGCCTGGGCTGCCCCAAGCTCCACCTCCCCCAAAGATGCACTCAGCAGCACTCGGAGGTGAAGGGGCTTCCCCTAGTGGCTTGAAGGCCCTTGAGAAAGGCATCGAGAGCACTTAAGTGTGTGTGCCCTGAGAGCCCCAT